CCAATCGTAAATGCTCTCCTCTTTGCCAATGCTTTATCATTGCTTTAATGGAAGTCTCGAAGTGGAGGCCTCGGTGTGACGACAAGACCAGAGAGAGGAGGCCAAAGTGAGGAAGTGGGAAAAAAAAGAAAGGAGGGAGACTTGCGCCTCAACCTCTTTCGCTCTCATTCTACTTAGGTAATAAAATAGACGACAGACGAGTAGTTACCCAACCATGAACACGAAATGCCGAAATGGGATAAGAAAGGGCTGGATGAGTCAGTCATTTGTCTGCAAAGGTAGCCTCCTGCTTTGCGCAGGCCTTATCACCAAATGGAATCGTCTTTTGGAAAAAAAAAACAAACAAAGAAGGGCGAAAAAGGGAGAGAAGGAGGGAGGGAGGGAGGGAGGAGTAGAGAGAGCTACATTCTGTCAGCAAAATTGCAATCAAAATAAGACATTTGTGCAGAGAATGAGGGAATGGGAAGAGGGCAAAGAGTAAACAAAATTCAAATTGGGGCAATCAACACACACCGTGTGTTGGGGCTCAACGGGTCTGCCACTGTTGCAATGTCTACTGTTGACATTTAGGCGAGATGAATTCGACCGTGGTGGTTGCATAAACGAAGACATTGACAGGATGTACACACACACACACACGCGCCTTACTTGTCGCTTGCGCTATAAACTTGTAAGACGTGCTGACATGAGGTGGGTACTGATAACTCCACAATTCTCACTGTTATTGAAGCTGCTTTAACACACACACACACACACACCAAAACACAAACCAAAACACATGCACAAATAACCTTTCAAGTTGTCTAGTCAGTGTCGACTTCATCGATGGGGAAAAATGCTCTAGCATGACTAAACTAGCCGGTTAAAGTATATAAAAAAAAGAAAAAAAAATTAAATAGGATGATGTAAATAAATATGGGCTACCACGCGATAAAATTGCTTTACTGTTGGTATTTATTTGCCATTTTGCAAAAAAAGAATGAAAGTTTTAAACAAAACGCAGAGAGGTGATAGAAATGTTATGGTAGTGGGGAGGAATGGGACAGATGCAATGCTAAAAAGAGGCATGTAGATGGGAGGAGGAAACGTGACATTGTGTCAGAGGAGCTGGATTGATTCACCACATGCAGATGTAGGTAAATTACTTTCTCATTTCTGAAGATTCAGCAAATGTGCATTGTACTTCCGAATAAAGCGCCTTGAGATACCGAGGAGGAGGAGGAGGAGGCATCATCATCATCATGAAACACGCACCTTTTCCCACGAATAAGATCTGCTAATGCTGTATAAAAACTTTGCCAAGACCCTTTCTATTCATCTGAAGGAGCAACCAAATTATGCAACACTTGATGAAACCCTAGATGTGAGAAAATAAATCAACTGTATCATTTTAATCGGAAATTGAGCACTCCACTTATTCCTCCACTCGTTACAATTTGCAAAACTTCACTTTCAATCCCGACAGATGGATGATAAATGAAGGTAATTTCATTCATAAGAGCATCAATTGTCAACTCCACGATGGCCTCTTTCTCCTCCTCTTGAAAACTCTGTCATTTCCCCTATTCGGCGCCTTTTATGCAGTGACAATGATTGGCTGGATGAAAGCGGAAGACCTCAAAGTTGGACGCGTGCCAGATGGCATCGCCATAAATGCTGCATTCATGGCAACCTTTTCACCAAATCCCATCACTTCAGCCTCCATCACTCCCACTCCGCTTCCCAGACACCTCGTCTTCCATCGCATCAATTCACACTCAGTCCTCTGAGAACTCATACGTTAAGGATGCAAAAAAAAAACACAACAACAACAAAAAAACAAAATAATAAAACAAGGAAATGATTTCTCATCCATGGCATTGCATTCCACTTCCTCCTTCTTTTCCTTCCTCCCTCAGCTTGCCTACCTGAACTGTGAAATAAAAAAAAAAAAGAGGTGCTTTCCAACTCTAAAAGCGTAACCTTTTCCTTTGGCACGCCTAATTACCCTTCTCCACTGTGTACAGGAGACGCCAAAAGGCAACTTTTGCCCTCCTGCCAACTTTCTCTTTCCCCACGCCCCCCCCCTCCACCCTCCTCCCTTAACTCCACACTACTTAAAAACTAAACAATTGACTGAATTAAATGCTGGTTGAAGTATTATTTAGGTAGATGAGGAGGTTATTTATGAGCAATTAAAATATATACACAATTCTTTTTTTTTGTGTTATAATCTTGCCTAACGCATTCTACCTACCTCAATGCCAATCGGGTGGACTACGCAACATCGGAGGGATGAGGTGGAAACTTAAACATATATGAGGAAGGGGGAGGGGGGAGTGGGGCAAAACAATGCTTTCTTGATAGGACAAAAAAAAGTTTGCCTCATTTTTAACAAAACTAAAGGAAATGGTAGAATGTTGTAGTGATTATTGTGAGAAACAAAGTGAAAAAAAGGAGGAGGAGGAAATTGGCGAACAAATCATCCATTAAAATAAACAATGAGGCCATTTGAGGGAGAGGGGAGGGAGGGGGGAGGAGGAGGAGGAGAAGGAGGGAAAAGGAACACGGAAACATGAGAGTAATTAAAAATGTTAGAAAAAAAATCTCCTTCCATTTCCTCTACACCAAATGGAACCTTCATTAAAACTGATTTGAGGAGTTCAAATTGTCACTGGTTGAAAGGTATTTGACAGGTGTCACCAACACCAAGGAACGAACTGCCTCTCACAAGGAGGGCAAAAAAAAAACCCAACAAATCTAATTAAAATGAAAATTTTAAAGCACATTAGCCTTTCAAAGCAGATTAAAAGAAAAAGTAAATAATTAAAATAGTGTTTAACTTACTGAGATTGCAATTGACACCAGTCCAGCCTTGATTACACACACACGTGTCATTGACACACTGACCATTGAGAAGACACTTTGCATTGCATGTGGGCACATCACAATTGACACCTCGCCAACCGTCATTGCAGAAGCAGACTGCTGGATCGAGAAGAGCTGTAGCAGCTGGTAGTAGACCCGGCAGACCCGGTCCACCGACAAGGAGTTGACGTCGATCACCTGTACACACTCCATTGACACAACGACTGGCACAAGTCACGTCTAAACGTCAAATGGAAAGACAATTTTGAAGTTTATACACATAATACAAAAGAGGAGTTGGTGTAGGCCTATAAGCTTCATCACTTCTTGTTTCCTCCTGTGATAGGACACTGCAAAAAAAAACTCACCTCCTCCACCTCCCTCCACCCCCACCCCTCCTACTTCGGAAGTGTGCAAATCTCCTCACACCAACAAACACAAAGGTTAATTCTTTGTAAGGGAGTAGAAAAAAAAAGGAATTTTTAGAGGCTAATTGAAATGTGGTGAGAATAAACAGGTTAATGGCAAGACAGTGAAGGTGGAGGTGAGGAGGTGCGTTGAAATGCGGTCAAATGTACGCCAATTTGCATTAGTCTAATGCTCAGTTCTCGTGACTCTCAACATTCACCCCTCAAAAGTCCAAATTACAGTCCCCAATAATTGTGGTAGAACTTTAACCTTTTCCCGCCTCCCCATCCCCTCCCCCTCTCCTCCCCCCCAATTCCGACCCAAGCCATACTGAGTCATTTGGGTAAGGAAGGAGGCAAAGAGTTGTGCCTATATCCTGAAGGAAGTGGAAGTTGAATAAACGAAATCCAAATGACTCCATCAAATGAATGTATGCAGGAGAGAAGAGGAGACAATCAGTTTTAGCCTTTTGAGTGATTAAAATGTCAGGCGGATTAGCAAAAGGCTTGGTACTGCCTAATTGCTGGTCCTTTCCATCCAATGCAGTGTTTATGCTTACAAGATTAATAATAGCTACGAAAATGTAAACATAGAATGAAGATAAAGGTGGTAGGGAAGCAGCACTTCATGTGTGTCAAAAGGCGAAGGAAGGGACAAGGCAAAAGGAGGAATGGACATTATTATTATTATTACTATCAGCATCAGCATCAGAATGGTTGTGGTTGTTGTGGAGGTGATTCCTTCTTTCGTCTATCTTATCAATGCAAAGATGTGTAGAGGAGCGTTGAATGTTCAAACGGTGGCACCATCGTCACTGACAGTAACGAAGAGG